CTAGATTTTTAGATCGATCTTTACCGAATCGATTTTTTGACATTCAATCTTTTGGTGAATCGATACTCGCAGTGTATTACCTCATTTTGCTCGAACATGTAATGTGATAGAATTTTTCTGAGCACGGATTCAAATTCAGCGACCAAGAATCTTTCAGAAATGGCACTCCACATGTCAAAAACAAAAAAAAGTCAAATTTTATTCCTCAGTATTATGTATAATATATAAAATAAATTATTTAAAAATAAAACTTCCAAATAATTTGTATACATTATTATAAATATATATCTTTCTCTAATAACTTAAATATAAATTTTACAATTTGGTTTTCTTATATCAAGCACATTATTTTATAAAAAAAAATATACTATATATATAGAATATAATTTTTAAAAATTACTCGGAGAGATAACATTGCTTTGAATTCATTTTATTTCATTCCCAATACCCGACCACGTTCGTGTATTTACAGTCTCGTAAGGTGATTATTTATAATAATCTTTCGCCAATTACAATAGAGCAATCACAGATCACATTGGAACTTCGCCGATCTTCCGTAAAGGAAATAATTTGCATAGATAATAATCCCATAATATTATATGTATAATATATTCAATAATTAATCACTATAAAATATACATCCGATCTTTGTAAAGTTCCACAAGAGCCTTTATATTATATTTTTATTTCTCCCGCACAAGATATTATTTATGCATTAACATTATAGTCGCTACAAAATATTTTTATATATTACTAAATTGTCGTCTTTCTCGTGAAAGAAAATAATTTATATATTAATATTAAGCGCTAGAAAATGTGCCCAATCTTTGAAAGAGATGTGATAAATTCCTTGGACTCTACAGAGAGCGACGCCAGACGAAAGTTATACGCAAGGCCATTCGATATTAGAGAAGAGTTATAAAACGATCGTCCAGTTCATTTTTCGCAAAAAGAGTCTTCGTCATACAATATGTTGTTTAGGAAGGTACAAAAGAATTTACATAAAGATAAGTAGATTACCGATATGCTTTACAATGTTTCTATGTCTTAATTTCGTCGGCACTTGGACCCGCGATAATAACGCTATTATTGGTAACGATAGCCGTTTCCAGCAGATGATCGTTCCTGTGCTTCTTCATTGTATGATTGTTGTTCTTGCTGGTCAATATCATTAGATCGGAGTGTATTCTAAAGTGCAATCTAGATTCTAATAAGTAGCCCGTATAGTTTTTTCTGAAATTTAAATACAATTATAATTTCTAATGTAAAATCAATGTTAAATATACATATAACGTAATATCCAAACTAACTTAGCGTCTTCCAAAAAGCCTATAGCCAGTTGAATATCACCCTGATCTTGCGCCAATAACGCTAATTCTACGGTGGCATAGGGAAATAAGTACGTGTCCTCTTTGACAGACTTTTCCAATTGTAAAACTTGTCGCAAACATTCCTCCGCTAGTAAAGGATGCTGCATTTGTCGTAGACAAGCGCCTTTCAGTAGCAACAGGAGTGCTTTGTTGTCTGCATGATAATTACTTTTCCTGCACAATACATTACATATTTCTCTTATTATATAACAAGAGAAAAAATTAAAATTGATAAAATATTTGTTGTATTTTGTCTTTTAAATGTCATTTAAATGTACAATTCTTAAATTCGGAAACAGATTTTGCAAAGTGCCTACTATAAATTTTTCCATTTCAAGCCATTTATATAATCATATATTTTATAATACGCACTTATGTTAAAATGAAACTTAAAATCGTTGGCAAAACTTACGAGGCTGTTTGGAGTTCCCTCTCCTCTTCTTCTATCTTCTTGAATATATTTAACAACAGGTCTTGCCGTTTGCCTATTATCCTGAACAGATTCCACACATACATAAGCTCAAACACGGGCACGACTAGGTACTTCTTTTGTGCGAAATAACGCTGAGTCTTTTTGATTATAAATTTCTCCATCGGCAGCGACTTGCCAGCAATACGCTGCTTGTAGGTCGGTGCCAGCATCATTAGGTTGTCGATCAGCTGTTTCTCCTCACTCCAAATTGTCGGTTTCTGCATAAGCAGGATTGCAGCCTTTTGATACAAGTACATGGTGCGCGACCAGTTGGACTCGTTTACCAACATCGTGGCGTACGTGGCCGCATTGCTCCACTGTTGCAGCGAACAGTGCGTCCACATCAATTCCCAATAACAGATATGATGGAACTGTGGCCAAACATTCTGACTCTTCCACGACTTTATATACCAGTCTATGCATTCCTCGAAATTACCTCGCGTGAATTCTAGCCTTCCCTTGAAAAACAGGAACCACACACCGTTCGGATAGAGGCTCAATTCCTGTTCCAATACTTGCTCACACCACTCCAGATCGCCGTCCGAGTGACTCAGCACGAAGCTGACTATCAAATTGTAGGACAACAGAATCATCACACATAGGATTTGTCGCAATCCTCTTCTTTCATCGTAGCCTGCTTTCAATTCCATTAGACCGTATTCCTAACGATTAAAATTTATAAAGTAAAACTCTGTCTCTCGCGCTATACATATATTCTTACTATACTATATACCTAACATATAATTATATGACATCCTATAATCACCTTATCGCCGGAAAATCCGATAAACTCTAACAATTTAATAACACGCGCCGGTAATAATGAGATCATCTAGAACAAAGTTCGATTTAATAAAAAGTATGCAATAAAAGATAATATATATTGCAATAAAAATATACAAATACCAAATTAAACGCGCCGATGCCCATGCGAACGCCACTCTCGAAATGCACTTTATGAATGTCGTTTCCCCACTTCCGGCTTTTCAAAACCGTCATGCATTCTCTGCAAAAGATAATAGTTAATTGTTAGAGAAATAGAAAATCGACGAGAGTCGTTCCGTTGTGACTTATTTACTTGTACGACAGAAAACAGGTACGAATTTTCAGTCCTGCCTTGACAAAGCTGACCAGAGTTTCATCTTCCACAAATGTGAGCATCGATTTTAAAAGGAGCGACTCGGCATAACAGAGTTCCGCATGCACCTCCTCTGCAAGATTAATCCTCGGTCATTCCTTTCATGCACTATACAGAGTGTTTGATAAGTAGGGTAACCAAAATATGTATAAGGCATATTTTTTTTAATTTAACTAATAAAGAAATAAACTAAATATAAATTTATTTCATAAGAAATTATGCATTTTGAGCCCTATATGTTACAGAATATTTTTCATATTTCACAAATAAGAGCATATTTTTGCATATTTCATACATAAAAGCATATTTTTGCATATTTCGCCCACACATGCACAATATTTACATATGTTATCTATTTTTATTGTATATTTCTCTCACATCGTTTTCTAATTTAAGTTTATGATTAGTTTTTTTCTGATCTAATAATAAATAGGATTTTTAAGATAAATTTTTTTCAAGAAAATATGCTACAACATATTTTAGAAAAGGAATTGATGAGATAAATGATTCACGCCGCGATGCATTGGTGCGCAGTGATGTCAGAGAAATCATAAGGAGAAAAAGATTTCGCGCTTTTACGTTCAATCTTCTATATTTTTGTGTCATACATAACATCAAAGACTCTCTCTCTCTCTCTCTCTAGAGTCACTATAATAAATAATATTAATATGTATTTGTTAAATTTTAATGCCCCGTAAGACTAATTAAATTTTTTTTAAATGTAAACAAATTTTATCAAATTCATTTTACTTTGTTATTATATTTAAGTAAAAAACTTAATTAATAATTTGAAAATTTGTGCGATAAAAAATAATTTTTAAATGCATATATTCCTTTCTTTTCAGTTTAATCCATTCTGCCTCTATGTGAGTTTTATCGTTAATTATCAGACATCCTGTATATGCCTTGGCAACAATTTTGGTAAAAATGAAGATCAGAAGATCAGAATAGTCTTGAATGTAACATATTATATTAAAGTCATGACTCTGTACAATATTTAAAAGACTTTAATTATCATTCGTTCCTTATTTTAAAAAAGTTATTAACAAAAAAAGTTCCATAAATAAATATATAAGTCATAAAATGAATCGTGAACGTAGTGAGGGCGCGCACCAAAAGACAGAGATTTAGGTTTAGATTGAACTTTGCTTCATGTGGAAAGTTGTAAACGCATCGTGAAATCGTTACAATTTTCCACGCAAAGCAAAATTGCACAGAGATTTATAACTTTCAACGCGAAGCGAAATTTCACATGAGTTTACAACTTTCCGTGCAAAACAACGTTAATACTAATAATTTTGATTTACATTGTATTGATCTTTTGTTTTGAGTTTTTCGATAAGTATTTTAGATGATTATGATTAGTACGTGTCAGCTAATAAGTTAGACAACATGTGAAGATACATGTGATCAAATATTCCTCGCTATGGTATACAAGATTATCATTTTATACATTATCTTACAGAATTTTTATTTAAAAAAATACATAATTAAAATGAATGGATCAATGTTTTTCTTATATTATAAGTTTCATGTAATTTTTTACAGTATAAGTTCCACTAAATGATTAATATATTAATTAAAACTTTTTGCATACGTACTATATATATTTTATTATTCTTCTAATATATTAATTTCACTTAAATTGGTATATTTCTCAAAACTCGTTGGTAATTATTGACAACGGAAGCAGCTCCGATGATCTTGACCTTGACATGTGTTGTCAAAGTCATGACCCTGAGTGACTTCCCAATATATCAAGGTCAAGGCCATTGGAGATAAGTTCCCTGATCTTCATCTTTACCATTATTTCTATTAATGCAATAAAGGATTTACAGTAATAGCAGAGATTATGATAACATTGTAGATTATGAATATTCTATTAATAGGAAAGCTAACAGGCATTTGTTATATAAGAGCTTACTGTTAATTGTTGTAACTCAAAATGTAAAATACTGGATAATAATATTTGTTGATAAATCTACAGATCGTGCTAAACAAATGCGTCAATTCACTTGTTATTAAAAATGCTATTACGTAAATTTGACGTCATGGGAGACGGAGGGTTGTTAGATAATGCTTAATAATCATTGTAGATATTGCATGTTGTTTTAACTACTACATGTGTATGCAATAGATTACCGTTCGTGTAAGCGTCGTAGTTAATCTTCTTGACCATTTTCCCAATGTTTTGCGTAATACTGGTGTGCTTTCGATGTTTGGAACACACGCTCATACACTGTTTCAACTTCTCTGATGCCTTCTCGATGTGTTTCTGAAAATTACACATAATACAATTGTTAAAGAAGATAGATTTCGCACGGTTCTAGCCCGAATAAATAAAAAATGCTTGACAGGAAAAACGTAATAAATAAATATCGAAATACTTGTTCGAATGTAAGAATCGCCTCCAAAAATGCGAATACGCTAGTCCCTAGAGAATGGTACATGCTGCTGTCCGCCCATGGCTCCAGGATTTTTCTCGCTTCATCGAAGTCATTGTTGAAGAAACAGTGAATCGCCTTTTTTGCTTCCATTATCGCTGTATCCAAATCCATAGACGCGAGTCTAGACAAAGTTTTTTCAAACGTTGCAGCGTTAAAAAAGCATAATAAAATAATATGCACATAATTATGACACGCATTATGATAGTGGAAATTAGTCTCAAGCAAGAAACAATTAATCTTTCCTCCTAAGCATCAAGAAAAGAATGCATTGAAGAAAAAGAAATATTTTAATCATAAATACCATATAATAAATTATACGTAGTAATTATCAATATAATAGCGAGTTTTTATTCTTTAATAAAAAATTCACAAAGCGAAGAAAAATCTTTTACGTAAAATAATATATAAATAGCATGTAATACATACTGTGGTAATGATTCCTGAGCATCTTGAAACTAAAATGCAAGTCAGATACATATAGAATATGTATACAGTTTTATAAGTACAAAAACACAATAAATTGACTCAATATAAAATATCTACCTCGTCATCACCTTCAACGTCCGACATTTTCAGTTGGTGTTAGAAAATCGTTCTGCAAAGATAACATAATTTTGTAAAAATTATTTTTATAAATTATTCAATGCACATATATTTATTAACATTTTTATCTTAAATTTTGTATATATTGAAAATTTACCGGACAGAGTTGTACTATTATTATATTGTTTTAAGAATCTTGAAATATATTACAGAAATGCGCGCGTTCTAGTTTTACATTAAAGAGAAACGAGCGTCGCAAAATGAAATTAATGAAAAAACATTGTAAAAAATATTAAATTTAGAAAGTTGGAAGATTTTAAATTAAGTTGCTTGATTTTAAATTATTTTTAGAAAGTCATGAAGTTAATAATCCGTTAAACACGGTATCATAAGTGCACCTACAGAAAAATAATTTCCAGTTTTATCAACTTGATGCGAATCTGGATACCGATAATTATAATCAGCTGATATAGATGCGCGTGGTGAGGTAAAGTTCACTCATGCTAGAAAATTATTTCAGAGAACCTGGAGTTTTTCGCAAATACGAAACGCTTATGGAAATATTCAAGAAAATGTCACCTTGAACTAATAAACGATGCTAAGATAAACGTGCTAAAATAAATGTTATCCAGTAATTAGTAAGCAGCAATATAATTACACGAATGATTACAGACGCTAAGGGAAACGAGCACAAAGAAACATATATAATAATTATCTATACAATCATGCTGAATTTCACGCGAAGTTTACAAAACGATCCTCTTGCCTCGCAATCTTATTCCGTGATAAATTTAATTTCAAGTTCGTCCCAATCTATTCGCTGCTGTACGAATATTTATAAAACATATATGTAAAAATAGACGCTGTTGTGTTCGTTTAGTTTGCATTCGTCACCACGGGAATCATTGTCTAAAGAAATCGATGTACTTGGACGAAAGTTCGTCTCGATTCCAGCGCGTAATAAACAATTTAACTTTCTTATCCTCCCTCCTCAGGCTCTGTTCACCAGTTTCACTTCGCCGCGGTGCGGCGGCTGCGAAATGGGGCTGCGAAGCCTCGCAAGCGTTGGGGGAGCGAGAAATTCGCGACGAAAGCGTAACAAGATGCAGCATTAAAAGGCGACCATCGATATTTTTTTTTACAAAATCTCCCATTAGTCAAAACATCCCGACGAAGATAAACAATTCACTTCACGGTTCACATTTCACCTCCTTTGCAAATTATCCTAATCCCCGTGTTTTCGCGAAGATATTCCTAGCGAAACGAAGCGTAAGTCGAATGTACCCATACAGCACCGAATTTGCAGCAATATCCCTGCAAAATCTCTGCAATATTGCTGCAACATGCAATGTTGCAGTAGTGTTACTGCAACTTTGATGCAACTTTGGTGCTGTAGGGGTAAAGACACAGAGCAAACAGGGGAGAATTATAGAATAACAAAAGTGTCAACGAATCTTCTACACTGAGAAAAATTTGTTCATTTGATTAAATTAATTTAGTTCGTCTTTATTTCTTTCAATATTCGAATTACGTTCCGATTTTTATTTTCGCTAGAAATCCCATACAACACAGACTTCCAAGTAACATCCTAAAGACATCCAGAATACATCCTAATATAAATAAACCCCAGTGTTTATGTTGATAAATATAAAGAAATTTATCATTAGCTTAAATTGAATCTTTCAATTAAAAAAAAAATGTTTTTTATCTTACCCGATTTTATACATGTCTAATGCAGTATTTCTTAAGAATAAATTTACGCTCGATTTTGTGAAGCTCGCCATGTAGAACACTAAAATAAAAGTTAATATTAATAGTTAAGAAACGGTTTCACTTGCGGAAAACTTTAAACATGTGTAAAATAGGGTACTTGTGTAAAAAAAATTCTTTTTAATTGAAAGACTATATTTAAGCTAAAATTAATGACAGATTTCTTCGTACTTTAACATAAGAAACAATAGTAAAAAAATTTTAGAAAAATCGGCGTGTGACGTTCCCCGAGATTTACTTGAAAGTATGTTGCGTTTCTCGGATAAAGTGTGTGAGACGTGATCCTTCCTAAACGGAGGTCCTTATCCACTGCACTCTGACACGGCCAGGCCGGTTTCTCACCAGGTCGTTTTATGATGTAGGAACTCGCTCGAAGGGAATAACGAGAACGGCTCTGGATCGCGAGGAAAGAGGCTTCACGAAATCGCGACGAAGTCGTCTTTGACGACCGGCGAGGAGCGATTTCGGATCTTTTGCACGTGGAAAGTAGACTGCCACGAAGAAAGTATAGGCAGGCTAGACCTACATTTCCTAAACCCGCGCATGACACAGAAGCGTGCAGCGGGAAAGGCAGAGGAGGAGGATGGAGAAAGCGCGCGCACTCGTGAATCCCGCGGATATTCGCGACCGTGGAGTTCACGGCGCGGCGGTAGAGGAGCGTCCGGAGCGTCCGGAGCGTCCGATAAAAACCGCGTTATCAATAATCTTCGAGGATGATACCACGACGCGCATTCACGGTGATGACTTTCACGATAAAACCGCGATTAGACGTTTCTGCTTGCAAAGGAAATAAATGGATCGATAAGTCGCGGAAAATTTTTCTTCCCTCCACCAGGACGACGATTTCCATTTCCTACATTATACATCACGCTGAAAATTAAAAGGCGAAGCTAATCGACACACATAATTAGATACTTGATGATTCAAAGAAGAATAAAACGGAATCTCTTGACTTTAATGTGCGTTACGTGTACCGCGAAAAAAAAATATTACCTAATCAACTTCGTTGAAAACGCAAAATCAGGAAAACAATTTATTCGTTTATTTTGAACTTCAGAGGATTAAATTCTGCAGAAACACCGAGATAACTTTTTAATATTTCCTTCTACTCACAATCAGTTTATATCGTGCGAGGCAAGAACAAATGAATTTTGGCAACATAATTATCGTGTAATAGGAGAAAATTGGGTAACCGATTTTTAATGCAAATTTCGTGTAAAGAATGTAAATAATATATTTCGCAATATTTGTTCAATATATTGTTTAATATTATTTATGTCCATTTCTACCATTTCAATTAATGTAGATTAACTTTAATCTCGGTTTAACGTACTTTTTCTGGTTCTAAGAATTATAAAAAAATAACAAGTTATAATTTACTCCGAGATTAAAGTTAATTTACATTGGTAGAAATTGACATTATTTATGACAATAAACCCACATTAACCTTAATAAATACAGTTTATTTCCGTCTATTCGTATCGTAAGATTTCACGTGTGCCCCGGGTATGTAGAATAAATATTGTTTGCCAGAAAGCAGACTTCAGGTGGTGTATTAAAGCGACGATAATAGTTTGTTGACCATACGCCGACCCTCTTTGCCGGCTTTGTTTCCGAGATAACGAGTTAACTATCTCGTTATGCGTTGAGCTGCCATAGATAATAATAACAATAATCTTTTTTTCTAATTCTAATCATTTAATTCCGATTCCCGCAATTCTCTCGATTCACGCGTTGGTAATCGTATGCGTGTACAAGCGCACGTGATCACGACAGGTCGATCTTCGTTAATAATTCATCCGAAAATAGAGCACGATGCGTAAGTGCGTCCGCACTCTGCTTGTCTCTCGTTAAAAACGGTTACACGGAAAAAAAAGATTGACTGCTGCAGCAAATTAAATGGTTAAATATGGCATAGCATTTTTAATTGGCTG